TCGAGTAGAGAAAGGGAGAGAGAGAATCGAGAGAGAGAAGAGTAGAGAAAGAGAGAGAGAGAGAATTGAGTCAACAGAGAGAGAGAGAGAGAGAGAGAGCGAGCAAGCGTGTTGATTAAATGTGTACGTGCCAAGAGTTAGAGACATCGTTCTTAATTAGAGAAGGGAAGAGAGGATGAGGTCTGTGCGCGAGGTTCGCCCATTTACCGCGGGAAATAATGACAAGGGAAATTACCCTTTCGTCGGATTATGGCCCAAGTTTGTGTTTGTGTGTGTGTGCGTGTGCGTGTGCGTGTGTGTGTGTGTGGCGTGTTTTCTTAGCTAGTTATTTAAAAATTCCCCTAAGTCAGGTTAGAAGGATAGGTATAATAGAATAGGAAGAGGGAAAGGGGAACGTGGGAGAAAAGAACGAAATGAGAGAGAGAGAGAAGAGAAAAGAGAGAAAGAAAAAGAAAAAGAAAAAGAAAAAGAAAGATATGCGGGGGTAGGTTAGGGAATGAGGAGGGAGGGGAGGGGGGTGAGAAACGTTTGTTGTGGGTCCCTCGCGTCATAACGTTGATAAATGGCACCGCTCGCGCCTCGGCCCCGAAGAGTTGTGATCCCGCTGATGATGACGAGGGCCAGAGGTCTTCGTGGGGCTCTTGGTGCTCAGAGACTGGTCCTTCGAATTTGCTTGCGGGAGGTGTTATTGATTTTTTTTTTTTTTTTTCGTCTAGGGATGTTTTTTGGTATAAGTGTTGTGTATCTTTTGTGTATTTTGTTTTTTGTTTTGTTTGTTTATGGCTTGGGAACGCGTGTGTGTGTGTGTGTCTGTGCGTGTGTCTGTGTTCGTGTGTACTATGGGTTGTACACACTTTTTGCGAGTATAGTGGTTAAAGAAAAGGATGATGTAGTTATTGTATGTGGAGACTGAATTTTATTTTTTTGATAATACGAAATAATGATCTTAGTAATAGTGTGATAAAGATTATAATAATAATGATAATGAGAAGTTATGATAATTCTAATAATAATGGTAATTAATAATAATTAACAATAATTAAACATGATAAATAGTACAACTAATAATAATCATAATAACAGTAATTAGTAATTAATAATAATAATAATAAAAAACGATAAACACTAGATAACCCATTCCACTCCCGGCGCCCACTAACCCCCTCCTCCCCCGCAGATCATCCTCGCCGACGAGTGCACGGAGGCCGAAGGAAGGGCGTGGCACATGAAGCACTTCGCCTGCTTCGAGTGCGACCGCCAGCTGGGGGGCCAGAGGTACATCATGCGGGATGGGCGGCCCTTCTGCCTCCACTGCTTCGACGCCATGTTCGCCGAGTACTGCGACACCTGCGGGGAGCCCATCGGCGTGGATCAGGGTAAGTGGGGGTGGTAAAGGTGGTGGGGATAGTGGGGGTGGTAAGGGTGGTGGGGGGGTGATTTTGGTTCAGGGTTTGGGTGAGGATATTCATGGTAATGGCAGTAAATGTAAGAATAAGAATAGTGATGATATTTGTGGTAATGCTGCTGATAATACTCATAATAGTGATGATAGGATAATGATGATAGAGAGTTAATGAACATTGTAGATATTTAGCAGAACGCATGTCCTCCTTTTACTGTGTTTAACATGAATGTCCATCATTTCAGGTCAAATGACCCATGAAGGCCAGCACTGGCACGCCACCGAGGACTGCTTCTGCTGCCACACCTGCCACGCCTCCCTGCTGGGTCGGCCCTTCCTGCCGCGCCGCGGAGCCATCTTCTGCTCCATCGCCTGCAGCAAGGGCGAGCCCCCGACGCCCTCCGACAGCAACGCCAACACGCCAGTGGCGCCTCAGGCTCCGACGCAGATGCTGAGGCCGTCGACGGGGCTGGAGCGGCGCTCCTCGCTCTCGTACGACGCCTCGGACTCGACGCTGACGTCCCCGCGAGCGCCGCGCCCGACGAGGCACCTGAACCACGAGTCGACGTCCGACCTGAGCGACGGGGCCTCCCCCCTCCCGGGCCGCCGCGGGATCAAGTCGCCGCTGCCGGACGTGCAGGTGGTGTCCAAGTCGCCGAAGATGCGGCGGCGCCCGCTGCCCACCTCGCCCCTCACGGACAACAGCGGCGACAAGAGCGAGGCGACCAGCCCGCGGTCGCCCCTCCTCAGCAGAAAGCCGTCCAGCGTCACCGGCCCGCAGCCTCGCATCACCCGTGACAACTCGTTCCAAATTCGCGACATGCAGAGGACGCGTCACGCGCCCGCCCTCTCCAGGGAGCCTTCCATGTCCGGCATGCACGGCGTGGCGCAGCCCAACAGCTTTCCTCAGCCACCTAGTGTCTCTAGTCCACGCTCACCGGGGTCCGTTTTATCGGTCGACAACCAAGGGCAACAAAGACCCAATGAGAACGTCGCCTCCCCCGTGTCGCCACGCTCACCACGCTCACCGCGCCTGCAGTCTGCGCACTCGCCGAGACACGAGAATCACAGACACAATCTCGAGTCTCCGCACGGGCCGTCGGAAGCTGGGTCGTCCAGGGTTTCTTCCGAAGTCGGAGGGTCTCGAGCGCCCTCGGAGATCGGGTCCCCTCGGCCGGGCAACCGATCCGTGGCCGCAGTGACTGGCGAGGAGGTGAGGGGCCAGGCGCAGGCGAACCCTCTCATGCGCTCTCCCAAAATGGGCCGGAAAGCCTTGCAACTCCAGCAGTCTCCGAAGGTGGGCCGACGTGCTTTAGAATATCGAGGTGCAGATGGAAGCACTGTTTCCTCCTCTTGCCAAACAAGCCCGCACTCTCCCCCTCCTCCTCTGCCAGGTCAGCCCTTGACATCCACTCCTACGTGTGAGGAAAATGTGCCGGCGGACAAAGTGCAGCGAGGAGTTGAGCTTGTGGGAGCAGGACTCGATCGTCTGGTGCTAGAACGCTCCCTTGGTCGCATTCTTGCAGAACAAGGAATCAACCTTTTGCGGGAAGTGGCTGCAACTTCTTCCCCTGGAACGTTAGAGTCTCTCTTGCAAAACTCGGAACTTTTGTCCAATGCAGCGCGTCGTCAGCCATTAGACCTCTCGGCGATGTCTGACCTTAATTTAGAGGCGCTCTTGGCGTCTGAAGAGGCCACCCGAGGGCGTGCCTCTCCTGCCCATGTGTCTATGCCAGATTTAAGTCAGCATGGGGAATCGTCTGCCTCTACATCTCCTTCAGCAACTCCTACCCCTGGGGCACCAAGAAAAAGCTCACTCTCTTCTCGACACAAAGACAGACACAATCGCTCAGTTCGATTCGATCCAGCTCAAGTCGGCGGGGAATCCCCGAGCCGCCAGCACTCAACCCGCGATCCCTCTTCGTCGACGTCTTCATCGGGGTCGGCTCCAACAGCCTTGGAAGTCTCGCCAGCCGAGGGCTCCACCAGAGGCCGCCGCCAGCGACATCACCGAGGGAGCGGCTCTAATGGTTTCCCAAGGTCACGTTCGTACTCTGGTTCGGAACCTTCAGCGGCGAACAGAACCCCACGAAAGACACCATCTGCGCCAGGCCTCGAAGACGCAGATTGGGACCACGAGTCTGTGTGCTCGACTTGCTCCTCCTCTTCTTCTGATGAATTTGACTATGAGCTTCCCCCGAGGAGAGCTTATGGCGGTGTTCGTATAAGTTATGTGCCTAATGATGCCCTGGCATACGCTAGACGGCAAGCTGGAAATACTCAACCACCAGGATCCCCCTCCACTCGCAAGAGGTTCGGAGAAAAGGACAAAAACTGTATTATCTCCTGATGGCATAGTGTGCCAGTTAACTCTAGCTATGCAGCAGCCAAGTGCGCTTAGTAGTGACAGATTAGTGCTCTATTTTCGTCTTGCGCTTTATTTTTGTGGCTGCAGAGCTGCCTACCTCGTGGTTCTGGTGGCACTCTCTTCGGGAGAGAGCCAACTGAGGACCTTGCCGCACCAGTATTGTTGGACAGTGCCACACACATCATTTTAAAGATATCTTATTCATGGACTGTCGTATTACATACAGCATGCATTGAATATTAAGTGCTCATTCATGTTGATCATCCTCATGATAAAATCTCGGAGTACGGCATTAATGTGCACAAAGATACATCATATTTACACCCAAATTTTAAAATCAACAATAGTGTTATATAGTAAATAATAGCAGTTTCTAAACTGAAAATTGGGCTGTGAAAAAAATCAACATCATCCCTATAATATGCAAAGAGGCCAAGGAATGTTGCTGTGACATCATTCGGCTGAACATCCCAACATACTGGCCACGTGTACTGTAGTAGGATAGTTAGTTCAGAACCCTTCTATATGTATGACTGCAGTCTAACTGAAGTGCCAAATAATGTCTTCCAAGACAACTGCGATTAGCAATGTGGAAGAATTTCGCTGTCTGTTGAGACATACCTGAGTATTATTTATAGTCAATATTACCTGAAATGACTCACAAGATTAAGAAATGATTCAATATTTCATAGTAAAACATAATCTGCCCTGTTTAGCGGTTGGCATCCACATATTTACATCTTAGTTACATGTGTGCATCGATCGGGTGCTTATAATGAGTATATTATTGTAGCCTCCTATGTATACAACGTCCTGTACTAATTACGTTTGCTATAATGGGCTACTTACAAATCCACAACATAAATTCTCCATTCGACATAACTATCGCAAAAACATTCTTTTAGCTGATAATAGAGATTTCCCATCATCGGTCTATTTAAGCAGTGACTTCAGAGTAATAGACACCAGACCGAATCGAAAATAAACCTTAAAAAACACGGCAAGATCCTCCACTCTTTCACCCCGTCACTCTTATTGAATCAAAATTCAAGCATGAGCTGTTTTCCCCCCCCATTATATAATACAACACTCGACAGACCTTCCACACATTTCCAAATTATGTGGACTGGAATAAAGTGCTACGTTTGCCGACCGAGATGGATATTGTCAAACTGGTCACCATACTTTGTCATTTTAAGAGGTTTGACCTATTTCTGACTTCTTTGACACGAGTAACTAAGCTTTATCGTTTGTTATCCTTTGTAAATGTGTGACTAATTTCCAGTTTTAAGTATATTAGGTTTATTGTATTCATATCATCAGAGAATATAAGATTTCATACACTCTTCATTATACAATAGTCGCATTTCACAAGAATGCTAGAAAAAAAAACCCTGCTAAATCATACACAATAAATTCATCCTATTATGTGGCAGCTGTTGCATATTGCAGCTTGATCAGGCTATTCGTTGACACAACCCACCTTATATTAGCTACAGGACCTTCCTGTTGTACACATACTTGCGACATTTTATTCACGTCTTGTATTCAGTATTTCTAATGTTTTGTATAGCAGTGTCTATAGAGATTCCCTATCACTTATTAATGAGTGGAAAGATCACTCAAACACTGTACATTTATGTATTTATTTTGATTGTTGTATATTACTTGTAGTCTATGCCTTTTTATTATTGTAAGTTCGTAGATTATAAATGTGTTTATATTGCTAAAGCAGAATGTTCATAAGGAATGTAATATATGAGAATGGCTTTTGGTTAAGGGTTTGTACATATATTAATAAAATTGTTTTCCGATGATTCATGTTTCTATCCTCCCCTTTTCCGTGGCTACACTTTTTTATTATATATTTATATATATAAAAACTACGCAACTTAGTGGCATGATCAATTTTCAACCACCCCTCTCTGGGTTCCCGATAGAGGGGGCTTCCAATTGAAGGCTGACAAAAGAATCGGAAATTTACAGAAAACACCGGAATTATAAATTATTTACAGGAATTATAATTCCTAAATAATTTATAATTCCTAAGTTATATAATCTTAATAACGTAACACATTGCTACGAAGCAAGACTGATGGATATCACTAATCAGGCAGAGATTTTCTTTTATTCATTCAGTTTCATTTTGAATTCTTTTATGCAGGGTAAAATCAATATTAGAATTAGTATATCAGTGTTTCCATTTTGCCTCGTATTTTCTTAAATTAAATATATGGACCTAGCGTCCCAGGTCCCTTATTCTCCAACAACGCCTCTCTTATGGACAAAGATCCGAGACACCGATTTTATACAAAAATGAATTAAAGGGATCGTATTTTTTTCCCGATTTCTTTTGCCGATTTTGATGAAGAATCCCACACTTTTGTCTAGACCCTAGCGAGATCTCTGTTCTTGTTCGAATCGCTGGAAGTTTTCGAGTTGTAGTAAAAAGAAAAAAAAATCCTCTCCCCCCTAAAAAAATGATTAATTCTTATTTCATCATCTTTTTTATAGAATCATCGTAAATCTAGGGAATATAGGAAATGTTTTCGATTTCGACTTTTTTGGGGGGAATATTTTACGAGACGCCTGGCAAGGGTGAAGACTAAGTGTTTATATTCATATACATGTCACTTTTACTAGAAGAACAGGAAAAAAAATCTGAATAGAATCAATTTTCATCTATTGTAAGCGGAAGCACATTTTTCGATTTTAACTTTTTTTGTGAATATCTTACGTAGACTTTTAGAACACCACAAAAGGGACTTTCTTATATGCATGTCACTATTAAAAGAAGCACATGAAAAAACTGCAAAAACTAATTGCATCATTCAATGGATCTACTATTCAGCTACAAAATGAGCCATATTACATTTATTTCGGACTGAAAATGCGTGTGCTACGCGTAACAATGTGGTGTATAGAAATATCGTTTTTTTCATATTTTTTACGTTATGGATATCAAATGATACACGAAATAATTCTATATGATAAAATCATCTATTACTTCCCATTATCATTGACACAATGGGAGTTTACAACATAAAATGCCGGTCTAAAATAACGTTCTCCATGCCACTGAACACCACACTCGCAGGCCGGGACGCGAGAGAAGGGGCCGCGCACCCGTGTTCCTGAGGCTGGAGTCCCGGGCGGTGTAAGCCTACGGGACGAGGTATTCGTCATATTTTTCCGGATTCTTTTTTTCATCCCATGACTTGAAGGTAATACCTCCAATGAGTCCCCAGTAAGGTTTTCTATATAGTTCTGCTGGGAACGAGCGACATAGACATGTGGCGAGGAGAGCGTGTCCCTTCGCACAAGGTCAATGTGTGTATCCCGCAGGTTCGGAGAGGGTTGCCAAGGTCTAGCAGCCATTTCATTTTTTCCTTTTTCATGGTGCCTTAAGGGAAGGCGAGACGGACATAATCTTTCCTCGATGCCAGTGGCGTCTTACCGGCGTTGGTGGGCTCTCTTTTATTCCTTTTTCTTCTTCGACTCCACTCTGAAGCCGTCAGTCAGCGTCAGCGTCACCCACCTGGGCGACGGCATCACCGTCATTTCGGCCTTCAGCACGCGCTCCTTGCATGGGATATAGATTGTATTGGCAAGTCAGTAGAGTCTGTAATGTTGAAGAAACTAAGTGTAAATTATGAAATGAAGCATATAAGCGAACACTTGTACATGTTTCACAGAGTGTATGGGGAACTATGTCACTACTTCATATCATATCATATCATATATATATCATCTGATGTCTTGGAAGATATACTTATGTATACGCCGGCTTGTAGACGAGTAGATAAATTACTGTGATTGTTTTTTTAAATTTTAAATGATATATTATAGATCGTAATAATGTTATGGTCTAGATTTCCTCTGTAATGCTATTATATAATGCTTTGACCATGCATCAAATGTACCACAGCTTACTCACGCAGGTGCAATTTGCCAGGGTGGTCAATGAAGGACTAAACTAAACTAAACACTCCCGTGAAATACAAATATATAAATACAGGGTGGTGTTACGGTATGAATATACGATATATATGTATATATATATGCAGATCATGCCCTTGTTTCTCTATATAATAGTACCACCGTTTGTTTGTTAGTCCGTTGTTTGGTTTTAAATTTTATTACAAGGGTAAGTTAGAGTTATGAACAGATTTTAATTAATGATTCACGAGGTGTGTCTTAGGCCCGTACTTTTAAAACCTTCGCCAGTGCTGGCGTTCACCTGGCGAAGCTTCGCCAGGCGAACCTCTGAGTGAGGGAGGCCTTACTTTTAAAACCAACGTTCGCCAGGCGCTAACATCTTGCATTCCCGCTAAATCTAGCGCAAATTTGTTTACATCTGCAGTGCACATAACATAACCTAAACTTAATTATTAACCTCGAGAGAAGACGAAAATGTTGTTTCCGCAACAGTCTCACTTTATGCTATAACAAAGAAGTTGAAAATATCTTTATACTATAACAAAATTAACTTTATACTTTATGCTATACTACACTTTATACTATAACAAGGTTAACTTTATGGCCCGTACTTTTAAAACCTTTTGCTTTTTCTCGCGTTTTGTTTCATTCGCCGAAGCGCTAGATTTAGCAGGAATCCAAGATGTTAGCGCCTGGCGATCGCTTTCGTTCGCCAGGCCTGGCGAACACCTGCCTTAGTTTAAAAGTAAGGCCTCCCTCACTCAGATGTCAGCATTGGCATTGTACTTTATACTATACTGTATCAACCTTATACTTTTATACAAAAAATAACTTTATAATTTAACAAGAGTTTAAAAAATTACCTATTTTACTATTTCTAACTGATGTAAGATATTGAACTGTAGGCCTACAAGGGTATCATTAAAGACGCCTCATTATAGGGCGGTGGAGCACTACACCTATGTTTCTATAGCGAAAAGTAAACATGCCGCCATAAAAAACACCTTCTGGTTATTTGTGAAAAGAACATTATCCTTACAACCAAATAACAACAACCTAAATCTAAAACAATATAGGGTCAGTCTGGCACAGCTGATGTCTTGAGCTCTCGACTGGAACATCGAAGGTCTTGAAAAAATACGTATATACGTTATTTCATAATAAATTATGATTTTAAGATATTTTATAATTTCAATGTGATTCCTACATCCTATCATACACAAATATGTTACTAATTTATAATTTGAAAGCAAGAAAATGGTATTCAAACAGCTCTCTTCGCCAGGCTGTTCCAATATGATCTTTCGCCAGCCCTGGCGAACGTTCGCCAGGCATGATTTTAAAAGTACGAAATTCCGGATCGCCCGGCGAAACCTTTCGCCAGCCCTGGCGAAAGGTTTTAAAAGTACGGGCCTTAGTCTAAACTAGACGCCGTTCCATTTTGAGGGTAATATGGATCTTGATCTGGATCCAGAATCTTTTTTCTAAATCTAAAAATTATCGAGATTTTAGTGAATTTTTTTTACCTGAGGTGTCTTAGCCTAATTTATATTTCATAAAGTTTTGGTGGTGATCTGGATCGTCTGACATACCTACCCTTTTTTTTTTTTTTTTTTTTTTTTTTTTTTTTTGAGGGCAGGTGCATGTTCAAAACATTGTGCTGAAGGATGGAACCCCTAAACAAGGTCGTCTGCTAGCTTTAGGGTGTAAGCAAAATATTGATAATTATAATCATGTACAAAAAACTACTAAGTAAAACTGTACTCATGAATCACGAACCATGATGAGAAGATGACGGATAACTAAAGCTCTGCTACCGCCAATGAACCGCAGGTTCATGAATATATATATTATGATAAATATATATACAATATATATATATATATATATATATATATATATATATATATATATATATATATATATATATATATATATATATATATATATATATATATATATATATATATATATATATATATCAACATCTGCTTATGTGGCATATTCGTGTTTTCTTACCTTCCCTTTGCTGTTCCTGTTGCAATCTGTTCATCATGAATTCCACATGTTAACATATATATATATATATATATATATATATATATATATATATATATATATATATAATATATATATATATATATATATATATATATATATATTATATATATATATATATTATATATATAATATATATATATATATATATATATAATATATATATATATATATATATATATATATAAATATATAAGATATATATATATATTATATATATATATAATATATAT